GAAACCACATTGTGTAGCTGACATCCAACAGCAAATCATAATTCAACAATTTCTCGGCGCCGCCTTCCGGTAGTACCCCACTGTTACACTTACCCTAAATAGTATAATCATGTAGCAAATGGGGTCCAGGACAACTATGGCATTAGGCTTTCCCAGGGGACACTAAATACCAAAAAGAAATAATCAAACCATGAATTGTTTTTCAGAGACACCAGCGTCTGATCCATAAAACCTTTGTTCATCTGAATTCTCTGCTGTAAATGCGTACCCACCAAGAGTTCCTGAGCATTGAATATGGATATTTGTGCCATATCCAGCTGATGAAATGGGCCAAACATGTTGGTAGATTGAAGAGTGCGGATGGTCCAGAACACTGCAAAAACTTCCAACTTAGCTGAGAAAAATCAAAGACAACCCAGATTGCAAATGCCTAGAAAAGGAAGATCTGGAAATAAATTGAGAAGGCCTATCTTCAGCAGTAAACCCAGACGGCTGTGTGATGATGATGGTTGGTATCATACCAACCTAAACTAGACACAATAAAGAAAGGCATACTTGCAATGTTTCCCTTTTGGAATAATCTTCTTTAAACAAGAACATTTCTGCTGCTACAACTAATCACTTGTCTCAGATAAAACATAAAAACGATTTTATTCTATCGTGAATGGTAAACTATCATTTAATCGACTCAAAACTCGTTGTTAAAGTAACACTTTATTTGAAGAAGTGAAATTGAAGAATTTTTACCCACTTATTTGTCAATTTTACCCACCCATACGTCAATTTTACCCACTCATACGTCAATTTTACCCACTTGTTCAAATCTTTTATAATAATTATAGTGTTTTTGACAGAAATCTGTTATGTTGCATGATTGACAACACCAGAAATGTGTGTTTGTTAGGTACTTTGTCAACTTGTCATAATCTATGTAAAATTTAAGCACATTTTAGTTTATGATTTTAGTAATTGTGATAAATAAAAAGTTGCTCAAGAATAATAGCTATTTTTATAACAGTACATAAAGTAAGGCTTTATTGTACGAATAATTTTATGGCCGAGCGAGCTTGCGAGCGAGGCTATTAAATAATGAGTCAATAAAGCCTGTTTATGTAAGCGTTATATACATGATTTTATGTACGATTCTGACTGGTTTTTGTTAAAACATAAAAAAATTGAATGGAAAAAGTAAAATTCGCGTAGATATACCTGTTTCACCTTGGCAGGTTGTCAGGATTTGTTTGACTTTGGTAGGTTGCCAGGACCTGTTTCACCTTATCAGGTAGTCCAGGTAGGCAATAAAATAGCACTTTATTTTACTAGTAAAATAAAGTAGCACTTTATTTTACTAGTACAATAAAGTGCTACTTTATTGACGCAAAACTGTTCTATAAATAGCACTTTATTGGTCAATCGGACGTAAAATAGAATATTACACACGATGGTAAAACAGCTCTACCTGTTCGTGGATTTAATCCACTCGCTCCTTCGTCGCTCGTGAATCAACATTTTCCACTCACAGGTAAAGCATCTTTTTACCGTCTTGTATAATAAATAACTATTGCCTGCAGAAGTTATTGAGCGTTCAGCTATTCTTATATGGCCCAGTATTAGGCTGAATTCACTCGAAACTGCATTATGCAGCTGACATCCAACAGCAAATCATAATTCGACCATTTCTCGCCGGCATTCGGTAGTGCCCGACTGCTACACTTACCCTTAATAGTATAATCATGTAACAAATGGGATCCAGGACAACTATGGCATTAGGCTTCCCCAGGGGACACCAAATACCAAAAAGAAATAATCAAACCATGAAATGTTGTCCTGGATATCAGTGAAATGCAATTTCAATTAGTAAAAAATAGTAATCATCATCAAGAGAAAGTTATTGAAAACATCTACAGTCAAATGCTCAAAGTTGAATACCACATTTACCCAACTAGAAGTAGCTTACCAAAGTTCTGGTTCCTGTACCTGTCATACCCAAAAAAAAAAGAAAAACCAGAATTTAATTCTTCTGGAAGGTTGTGAAAAGCCCAAAGCATCGACTTTTTTAAGACAGGTGGCATTTATTCAAGAATTGATCAAAAGGCAATAAATATAGTTGTTGGTACTTACGAAATTTAATAATTTTTATACTTTAACACTATCAATTATAGGAAAATCCGATGAGGAGTAATAACTCACTGAAACTGGAAATGCTCAATTATTTTTTTTATTTACGACTGACATATAATGTAAGTATTATACTTGTGATTTTGGCAGTTTAATGACATATATTATTCCCGCAGGGATTCATGGTCATTATTCCCGCTTGCACACCAATCACAACATTTCTCAAATTAAATAAGTAGTACCATGGAACCAATATAAACAAACTCGAAAGTGTCAGTGTCAAAAGCGTAAGGCTTGTGTATTTGTATTGAGATGGATGAACAATGAGCGTTTTTGAAACAAAAATTTCAAATAAATTAATTTGTCGTAAATAAAGTAGAGTATACTACTCGCAATAATGGCTATTATTCCCTCGGAATGTTACTCCCTCGCCGCTAACGCGGCTCAGTTCGTAAATATTCCTCGGGAATAATAGCTATCATTATTGACTCGTGGTATAATCTACTATTATTTCATAACAGTACATTATTGTTTTTTTATACCTTAGATACCATCTACATAATTCATCACTTTATGCCCGTGCGGGCATAATGTACCATTCTAAACATCAGGTTGACAATTACGCTGCAAATGACTTCGTTTGCGTGTATGCAAAGTTGCATCGTTGCATCGATTTCAAATTCCCCCTGGTATGACATAAAAGTTTGTATGCACCACGGGTACTAATAGATATATACCCTCGGGCGACTTACGAAACCTCGGTCCAGAGGCCCTCGGCTTTGTAAGGCTGTCGCCCTCAGGGCATAATCACCTACTTAGTACCCTTGATTCATAAATAACTATAACATTTAATTGGTAAATAGTCGACTGCCAATTAGTGCCGATATGCTGAACCTTTTTTGAAATCATAAAGATAAGAAGACTACTGCCAAACTTTGGTACTTTGGTACTGCGGGCTGCTACTGTGCTGTGGCTCAACTGGGCAAAATTAATTGTCGGAGTTTGTATACATTACCCGGGACCCTTTCTTTCATTACCAACTTATCATAACTTTTTTTGTGTTGACACCCTTCATAGTGATGATTCATGGATTATTGTATTGAAATAACATCCTTTCATTTGTTTATTTGCTGAAATGGGCATTTTTCCCATTGCTCTTCTACTGTAGAAAAGAGAAAATTTTCTATTATTCGCTACGATATAGCCAATTTGATTTGGTTATCTGCTATTACGGAAAACGTTTTTGTTTCTGCGGAAATGCTTCTTTAGAAAATGTGCAATGAACAACCTCGAATAATCCTGATTTTGAGAATGATCATTGTTCTGGCGGCAAAAATAGCTGAAATTACTTGCACAATAACCATTATCATTTTCTTTTATGTAGGTAGTACCTACTTATTATACAGCGTAGCAGTACTGCTATTAATTGCTTCATTGGTATGAAGGTATAACAAATAGACATATAACTTTTTGATCGATCCAGGATCAATAGCTCTTGACTTGACAAAAATTGGCGAAAGGTACCAACTTTTCTTTCAAATTTCTACGTCACCAAATTTTAACAATAAAAACTTGAAGTTAAATCCTGCGGCAGGGCAGATAATTAACCCAGCCTGGAAGAATAACGGGAAAGGAATATTTGTTTACGAAAACCTTTTATTTCCCAATTCCTTTTCACATTTTTTTTCTCCAGTTTCTTATTATTTTTTCCTGTTTTATACACTGCTCTTTTTCCAATAAACAAGAATCGATGGAAAAATAAAACAAGCTTTAACAAGACTGTCTGTTCATATAACATGTAATGTACAGACCTTTCAACATAACACATGTGTGATGCGAATTCTGTTTTTTTATTACGCATATTCAGGGAACCTTCATAGTAAAGGCTGGTGTCCACACTATTTAGATTCTTAAAAGGTGCTAGGCATATCCCACAAAATATTCAGTACATGTGCTTGGGATATGCTTGGAAAAGAACTAGAACTACATGTTCAGAATGCGCATCATGATGAATAAAACAATGTTCAATGTTCTCAAAATCACTTAGGACACATATTCTTGGAGCCTACTACCAAAGTTTCTACTACTATTCTTTTTTGCTATCTGGATTATAGCCAGGTACTGACTGTAGTGAGATAGCAATAATAAGAGGGTGCATTTTTTGCATAATGTGGGTTAGTTTGATAAAGATGGTTGTCATGAAGATACAAAAACATACTTTTGAAATGGGCTGAGACAGGACATTACGAAAGAAAATAACATTTCTGATAACCCTGAGATGGACCATAATTCATTGAACGAACCTTTATTTACCAATACGGAAATAGCAGAGTTAATAAATTCTAGCGGATTCTGAAATCAAAAAAGTTCGGTAAACCGCATCTATTAAGAATGCGCTAAATTTGGTACCGCCACTGTCAAGTACCTGTAGTAGTACGCCCGCTACCGAAGCCAAGGAACAGGTTCCGTCAACCTGCCGCTGTCGAAGAAGGCCCCAAGGTGCCTTGGGGCGATGGACGAACGCACCATCTCCGACGTGTATACTTATTTAAGTCAAAAGGTGAAGAACATTTTTGTTTTGTTATTTGTTATTGACATGCCCCTGTATTATACTATTTAGTTAAAATGAAAGAGAACAAGAGATAAAGCAGAATAATTTATTTAATCTTAAAACTACACTGATAAGAACTGTCAGTTCTATACTGATAACATTATACTGCAGTAAGAAACATTTCTTAGAATAACTTTGATAATGTTGGAAGAACATCTTAAATTCATCAAAGAAGCTGCACTACTGAATGGCATTGAAGATTTTGAGCTTCAATATGAAAATGGCAAGTGTTTGACTCTTATGCTTCAACATTACCAAAATATTTTTTCAGATTCCGAACCAGGTGGTAATTATTTCGGCATCATTACAAAATTTATCGTGAAACATGGCAATACAAGACTGCAATTGGTACTTAAGAAAGCTTCTCTTAATCAAGAAGCCAGACAAAAAAGAGCTATATTACCAGCGTTTGAGCGAGAGTACGAACTTTATAATAATGTTTTACCGGAATTGATGAAATTTCAAGTGAGTGCTTAATGCAAATGTTTGAGAAAGCAATGATCATTTATTTGTTGTAGATTGCTCACTCTGTATCTAAAAAATTCACTGCACTACCAAAGTACTATAATGGTACCAATGAAAATGAAAAAGAAGCAATTTTAATGGAAGATTTAAACGCTGCAGGCTTTAGACTATGGAAACGCTTGGAACCAATGGATTTTGAACATATGTCACTCATTTTCCAAGAATATGCCAAATTACATGCGATATCATTAGCTCTAAGGTAATTTGAGATGTAAAAATACAAAACCTTATATAACAAGGCTCAATTTTTTAGGCATAAGCAACCAAAAGCATTCGAAAATCTAACTGAAAATATTAAATTGAATTTTTTAAAACAACGTGAAGTAAAAATGCCAGCTCACTACAAACACATGCGGCAAGTAGTACTAGAAAAAGGTGCCCAAGCAGTACTGGGCAACGCAAAAGCTCAACGGTGTTACAATCAGTTCCAAAACGCTTACTGGCAATATTTAGATGAGGATCAAGAAAACCCCGAAAACGATATATTGGTTGTTAGCCACGGAGATTGCCATCCAGATAATATTTTATTTAAGTACGACGAAATTACTGCCAAACCAAAAGAATTGCGTTTCATCGATTGGCAACTATCGTCCACAGAATCTCCTATAAATGATATTAGTTTTGTATTGTTTACATGTGCAGGAGAAGACGTACTCAGCCGATGTGAGGAATTGTTTCAAATTTATCATGGTACTATTGAGGAGAATTTGACTGAATTTGGATGTGATTCTGATGAAGTAGGTAGTAAGTGATAATACTTGATGTCCACATTTTAGTTCTGCAACTAATTAATAAAATATCTTCTTGTAGGTTTTTGGTTATAAAAGCTTCGCACATCTGTGGAACAAGCATTTTTTGCACGGTTTATACCGAGCTCAAGTTTGTCTGAAGCTCTTCCTGATAACGCCTAAAGAAATTGCTGACCTCGGAGAATCAACTTCAATTTTGGATATTTTGAAAGCAGATCTGGATGCTGGTTCACTTTTTTCTCAAAGAATGAAGGGCTTATTTGAAATAGTCGGAAATAAATGGTTGAAATGACATTGTGTGTTTTATTTGTGGAGATGTTTTTGAGAATTTGACCAGTGCAATTGACATTCCAATAGTCAGAGGCAGAGGGGCTCTTTCATTGATCAAAATAATGAGATAATTTCCGGAATAAATTGTTTCGTATTTCCCAAGGGAATTTTACTCAAATAGATATAAGACAAAGTCAATTTGAAGTCCTAAGCTGTTTCTAAGTAATTGCTGACTGATTAGACTTTCCACAAATCGACTTGATTCATAGAATAATTTTAAAACAATTAAAATAACATTTTTAACCAAATATTTACCAGGCATCGTGCGGCTTACGTGTAAATTTTATTCATAAATGCACACAATATTTCTCAATAAACATCCGATACGTATGAAATGACCCCGCCAAAGATGACTAACACGACAATTCAGTCACATTTAATAGTCTGATTCAATATAGTTGGGATCGCGTTGTTAATGACAAAGTATACGGAACAGAATATTTTATTTTAGCCCCTGTTTTAAGTGATAATCAGTGTGGGTTCGTCGTTTACAGTGACAAGAAGTCGTTAAAGAAATGAAAACATGTGTTGCATCTTTGCTTTGGCTTGTGTACTAATAGCTTGTCTTCCAAATGTGTTGGGTATTAGGTGTTATCAGTGTTTTTTGGCCGAACATCCATATTATGTTGATGGTGAGTTATATACTTCTTGTAGATTTTACAACACGATATCAGAAATAAGAAAACTTTGAAGGTCAATACTTTCGATGCATTTCGATGATGACATCGATACCAGATTATAATATTGTCACGGCTTTGGGTATCGTGACAGAAATCTTGGGTTCGTTGTTCGTTTATTCGAAAATCAAAGTCCAATTAACACAGCAATAATTTATTTCACTTAACTATACACTCTTAGTCTGGGAGACGACCGCATTTTTCCTACCCCGATCGAGTTATGTGTCGACACTATTATCAATATGTAGTATTATGTGCATCTATTAACCTGTATTCCTGCCTCAGAGCAAATGCTGCCGGAAATATCTTTTAACAAATTATTAACAAATTGAAAAAAACGTAACACTACCCCCATCGAGTTATGCCCTAAGTAGGGTATCAGATTGTAGGTCTCGATGTCCCCTATCTAAAAAGTCGATCCTGCCTCGTGAGAACTTGCCGGAAAAGGGTGGCAGGATAGCTTATTGGGGCAAGGGCCCGCGGTCTCTGCTTTGACACCTATCAAGCTTTGTACTAAATGAAAGGTGTCAATAAGTTGATTTAAGGTCTGTTCGCACAGAAATCACAAACCAGTCAGAGCGAATTTCATTGGTTAGAAACAGTCAGGAAACTAGTTTCAAACAATGAAATTCACTCCTTTTGGTTTGGGATTTCTGTGCGAAGAAACCTTAAATCAACTTATTGACACCTTTAATTTGACACATCATTCAGCGCAAAACTTGATAGGTGTCAAAGCTGAAACCGCGGGCCCTTGCCCCAATAAGCTGCCCTGCCATCCTTTTCCGGCAAGTTCTCACAAGGCAGGATCAACTTTTTAGATAGGGGACATCAAGACCTTCATTCTGATACCCTACTTAGGGCATAACTCGATGGGGGTAGTGTTACGTTTTTTTCAATTTGTTAATAATTTGTTAAAAAATATTTCCGGCAGCATTTGCTCTCAGGCAGGAATACAGGTTAATAGATGCACATAATACTATATATTGATAATAGTGTCGACACATAACTCGATCGGGGTAGGAAAAATGCGGTCGTCTCCCTAACTATCTGACACTAATTACTTTAACAACTAACTCAACAATTAAACTCTTTACAACTCGCAACAATATTCACTATTTAAATCGCATCACAGTCAAACTTAAACTTAAAACTTTCAACCAATGCTGGCCCTTATATACCCGCAAATCTATTCATGTACAATCTAGAATACACGCGATAACTATCCTTCTCGAAAACACTGCAAGAATCCCGCTAAATTGGGTTCTTGACATCCTGACGGCGGCGTTATTCTGACGGAGGCATTATCGTGACACTGCCCTCCTCTTAAGGTTGATCGTCCCGATCAACTTCACGGCCATGATATTTCGTCCAAAATCAACATGCCTTTCTGATCGGGATAGGACAACACTGGACTCGTACATAATGCTCCTTTCAATTTTCTGCAAGCGGAATCGCCTTCTTGGGTCCAATTAAATGTTGATTTTTCTTTCGTTAATCGATGAAGCGAAGCAGCTATATTGGCAAAACCTTCCACAAATTTTCGATAATAAGAACATAATCCTAGAAAACTCCTTAGTTCATGCTTGTCGCGTGGTTTTGGCCAATCCCTGACAGCATCTATTGTTTTTCCTTCCATAACTTGTATGCCATCTTCAGATACCACGTTTTGAAATAGAAAACACTTGTTTGGGTTGAGTTTCAAGTTGGCATTCCGGAAGCGGTCAAAAACTTCTTTCAGGTTATTGAGATGTTTTTAGAATGAGTTTCTCATGATCATGACATCATCTAAATATACCAGGCAAGTTCTCCATGTAAGGCCTCGCAAAACAAGATGCATCAGTCGCTCAAACATAGCTGGAGCGTTACACAATCCGAAAGGCATTACGTTAAACTGGTATAGCCCGCTACTGAAGGCAGTTTTCTCTTTGTCATCTTTGTGTATTGTCACTTGCCAGTATCCACTTTTGAGATCCAAGGTGAAAAACCATTTGGAGCCCGATAGAGTTGTTAATGTATCGTCTATTCTCGGGAGAGGGAAGCTGTCCTTCTTGGTGACGTCATTAAGCTTTCGGTAGTCCACACAAAATCTAAGACTCCCATTTTTCTTTGTAACCAATACTACTGGCGCAGACCATGGGACTATTTGACTCTTCAATGATTCCCTCTTGAAGTATTTTATCAATTTGGTTTTCAACTTCCTGTTGTTAAGCTACTGGCATACATCGAGGTGGTTGTCTAATAGGGTGTGCCAATCCAGTAGAGGAAAGGCGCCTAATATTAGGATACTGCCTAATATTGGATACCTACCTATTTTAAAAACGCAACTGTATATGTGCTTCCATCTATTAACTATAAGCTGCGTTACACCTTAAAACCCCACCTATGAGTTTGCAGGGTTGTTTAATAGACTATGTTGACATAGACGACGTTTTATTGAAATGAGTGTATATGAAAATTATTTGCTCCCTATTTTCAGTGCTGAATTATCAGTTGAAAGGTAAATACAGGGTGTCCCAATAGAAAGTGACCGATTTTAAATGCTTATAAGTTTTAAACCAGGTGTGCTAGCTACCTTTGATTTGCGCCATTCAACTTTTCTTGGCCTAAAGTTTTTTTTCAGTTAGTTGCTAATTTTTTTCATACCCATACAGGGCAAGTTAAAAAAATGCCGTTTTTCAACATCGAAATTCTCCACTATTTTCAATGGATCACCATGTATGTTGCAACGCCAAAATTAAGATTCGTGACTAAGGTATTCATTTGCCAATAAACGTCGGCCTTTTTTGAACCTAAAAAAATGCATTTATTTTTGGGCCAGATTTCTATTTCAATTTTTTAGGGCTAAAACGTCAAGTTCCATGCCCGATGTTTATTGGTACATCAATACCTTGTACACGACTCTTTATTTGGGCGTTGCAACATACATGGTGTTTCAATAAAAATAGTGGAGAATTTCGATGTTGAAAAACGGCATTTTTTTACTCGCTCTGTATAAGTGTGAAACAAAAAATTTGCAACTAACCGAAAAAAACTTTAGGCCAAGAGAAGTCAAATGGGGCAAATCGCAGGTAGCTAGCACACCTGGTTTAGAAGTTATAAGCATTTACAATCGGTCACTTTCTATTGGGACACCCTGTATTTCAAAAATTTCTAAATAAGATGGCTAGTGCATGTTATAGAGTAAATTTTACTAGAGTTTTCATAAATATTTTTTTTTTGTCAAAAATAATTATAACCTAAAAAATTTATGATGTGCCTAATATTGGATAGCTACAGGTTCCCAATATTGGATATCCAATATTAGGCAATACTTTGAGGTCAACTGGAATCTGCAATAATATATCTATTATTTGCAGAAATGGCTACTAAAAGAAAGCAATAGGATAAAATAAATATGAGCAATGCTATTCAAGCAGTAATAAATCACGAGATGCGATATTTAAAAGCTGCCAAATCGTATAATGTTCCGAAATCTACCTTGGAGTATTACTGTAAATTGGAAAATCCCCTAGAACATTTAGAAAAATCGACTCTTGTTCGTGAACCTGTGCTACCTGAAAGATTAGAAAAAGAGTTGGCGATACACTGTCTGGAATTAGAGAAAAGGTTCTATGGTTCAACATCATCCGACATTCGTTGTTTGGCGTATCAGTTGGCTCTAGCTAATAATTTGCCACATCCATTTTCACAAACAAAGTCTACTGCTGGGAAAAAATGGCTTAGGAATTTTTTGAGGCGAAACAAAAATATTTTTTTTAGAACTCCTCAAGGTATATCCGCAGCTAGAATCAAAAGATTTTCTAAAGAAAATCTGATTAAATTCTATGACATTTTGGAACCACAATTAGATAAAGTTAAATTCAATCCAAGTAAAATCTATAATGTTGACGAAACTGGAATAACTGCAGTCCAACACAAGCACACTAAAGTTATCAGCCTAAAAAGAAAGAAACAAGTAGGGTCATTGACAACATCAGAACGAGGTGCGCTGGTCACTGTTGTTTTCTGCATGAATGCTAATGGACATTTTATACCCCCAATGATGATTTTCCCGAGGAATATTTATTTACTCAATGGATGGATCATTTTATCACGCATGCCAAGCCATCCCACGAAGGTCCTGTTATTTTAATAATGGATGGACACTATATAAGGTACTTATTTTGGCAATTGCCTAATTATACTGCATACGGCTAGTCAGCATCAGTCCGGAGGCCATGGGTCTATGGGTTCCTTGTATACATCTTACCTTTGGGCGCCACCAAGTTAAATGTGACTTAACTAGGA